TTCAGTATAAAATTCACTTCGGACACATGCAAAGGAAGTTTCTTACAAAAAAAATTGCACTCATTTCACTTAACTGTTGATCTGCAAATGGTAATAGATGATTTCTCTCTATGTAGTCTTCAAAAGAACTGATGAACTTTAAAGAATCTGGTAATTTAAATCACTAGGACACAGCATCACATAGTGAGGAGGTGGCTAACACAGAATACTCCTTTCCAGAAGTACGATGTTGACAACAAAAACAGATACCATCCATCATCATCATCATTTCCTTTGTAATCAAGCAATAACAGCACTGTAATGCAAATGACATACATTTTTAGTGAAGTGTGTGTGTGTACAAAAATATTCAAACCTTCAATGGTTGAAACCATCAGAGCCAGAAATTTGAATAGTTTCAAATAATGTTCGATATATTAGAATACGATATGAAGTCATATATTAAGATTTATAAGAAAAAAAAAAGAATTTTTTTATACAACATAAACTAACTTTTATAAAAATGAAAGAAGTAAATCTTCTATTCTATTATAAATGAGTAGTTGATTAAAACAAAATGACATAGTCATTATCTTTCATCTTTTTTATCAGATTATCAAGTAAAATATAAGCTCTTCCTATTTTTTTTTCATTAAATATTAATTGTCTATTGAATTTAAGCCTATTAGTTTTTAATTGTTAAATTATATTATTAGCCTGAGATATTCGTCAATTTATTATCTGTTGCCTACAAAACTTACACACATGCGAAATGACTGTATCAATCAGTCATTAAAAAAAAAAAAAAAAGAAAAAGAAAATAAGGCAAAAGAAAAATAAAATAAAATAAATACGGGGATAAACAATACACACACGCCTGAGATAATAAAATACACGAAAAAAAAAAAAACAACACTATAAACACCGGATAATATGTTTCTTCTCTATAATGATGACGAGACAAGTGATTGTTGATCGGTTTTTTCATATTTTATTATTGATGACGCTGATGATGATGATGATGCAACATTCATTTTAAAAATACATGGAATGATTTTAGAGATTTGTACTGAACCTTGAAGAAACAAAAAAAAAAAAAAAAAATTCTATAAAATCAAAAACAAAAAAAAAATCATTAACATACCTATTAAACCAACAAAAAAAATTTCTTCAATTATATTTGTATCAATTTCCGATAATGATGATAATTTAAGTAAAAGTCTACCTAATCGTAAATCATCATATGATGTTGATAATAATCGATCATTTAAATAATCACGTAATTCTTTATATATTAATATACGATATGCATCAATTTGATCATATGATTGACTAAATTCTAAATTTATATGTAAACAAAATATAAACAAAGTTATTAGTACAATCCCTATAGGATTAAAATATGAAATATAATATTGTTACTATTTCTAACCATATAAGAAGATTATTTTAGTCTATCTAATTGAGGACATATTTTTTTTTTTCACTCTCCTTTTATTTAATCTTCTACAAAATACAACAAGAAAATAGTTCATATATTATAATGTGATGTTATTGATATACGATTTATAATCGTATATCAATAACGGTGATAGTTTCTGATAAGCATCTGTAACATAGAAGGAAGGAAAGTTGAGTATTACTATTGATAAACTTAAATGATATTTACCATTACTATGACTTGGATTAAAAATTAAAATTAATTTTAAATATGCATATTCCATAGATGTTACTTGTAGACGATCAAATTCATATAAAAGTGATTGAATACGTCGTAATTGATGATATTTATTTGATTCATAATTATCTAATTTTTCTAATAATAAAATAAATAGAATTAAGAAAAATTTAAAAATTTTTTTTTTTTTTTTGTTTTTACTAGTAAGTAATGATGTTAAAATATTCGATAGATTAACAATAGATGAACATTGAAGAAGACTAAGAATAAATAATGATAACCAATTATTTTGTACGAGAATTATTTGTATTTGTGTACTTCAAAAAACAAAAAACAAAAAAAATCAAAAAAAAGATAAAAAAATTAAATTCTAGTAAACTTACTCAAATGTTTGAAAACAAGAATTACTTTTAATCCAATCAATTGATTGAAAAAGAATACGTGATGCTGTTTCACAAATAAAACTATTTGTTGGTTGTGAATCACGATTTGCAGGAGGAGTTGGAGGTGTTATTGTAAATATACTAGTTACATCAGTAACTAATGGACCTAAATTAATTTCAAATAGATCTTTCTTTTCTTTTTTTTTTTTATAAAATATAAATTAATTTACGTTCAATATGTTCCCAATAATATTTTTCATTAAAAAGATATTGTTGTTGCATCGGTACAACAGGAATATTATTTGTATTCAATCGAGTCTATTAAATAATAATAATAATTAAATTAAATAAAAAAAAAACAGAAATGCTTTTAACACAATTCCTACGAGATTAAAATGTGAAACACGATGTAACTATTATTATTAGTAACAGAAAGATTGTTTGACTCTACATATTTTATGATATTTTTTACTCAATGCACTAGAATGAGTGTAATAAGGAAATAGTTCATATAGTATAATAAGAATATTATTAATATATGATCTTTAATTGTATATTAACAATGACTATCATAGTCTTTCGGAGAATGAGGTCAAATTTTTTATTCCTATATTTTAACGTTCGTTTTAGATCGTATTTCATAACAAAAAAGAATAATTACATGTGCTGCAGCTTTAGCTAAATTATCAAAAGCTCTTGTAATAGCTGTTGTATAAGGATTATTTGATGTTTCAGTTTTCATATTACAATCAATATGAAGATTTGTTGTTGTTGTTGTACTTAATGATGATGAAGATGATGATGATGATGAAGGAGGAGAAAGAAAGACAGCTAAAAATAAAAATGAAATAAATCATTTATTTGAATTAAACAAAAAAAAAAGAAAATAATTATATACGTGTTGTAGGAGTTTTAACTGTTGATGTTGATGTAAGAATACTATGAAGAGTTTTATTTTCATTGACTCGTTGTATTGGATCATCTTGTTTATTATTAAAAAATAATTGTATATTATTTGACGATGAATTTAATAACTATAAAGAAATAAACGGAAAAAAAAAATTTTAGTTTTTTTAAATTCTTTTCTTTTTTTTTTACATGATTTTCACTTTGTTTTCGTATTCGTTGATTATTATTATTATGATTATTATTATTATTATTATTATTATTGTTATTATTATTATTATTTCCATTTGTAATTAATTCATGTTTATTTGTATATGGTCGTCGTTCATTTTGAACAGCTTCAACACGCATTCCTACTTGAAGACATTTCTGTAATCGACAATATTGACATCTTCATATACAACGAAAAAAAATAATAATAATAATAATAATAACAAAAAAATAATCCATTATCATTTACCGATTTCGCATAAATTTATTTATTGGACAATCTTTTGTACTTAAACATGTATATAATACTTGTTTACGTATACTTCGTTTAAAAAAACCTTTACAACCCTGACAAGAAAAAACAATGATCATATGAAATTTTTTTTTTGTTTAATATAAATAAGTCAATAAAAAGATTTAATTACTTCACAAGAAAGTACACCATAATGTCTACCAGATGCACGATCTTGACAAACACAACATAATAATGATAAATCACCATTTGTTGTTGATGTTGTTGTTCCATCACCTATTGAAATATTCGACTGACATTCATTATGATCATCAGTATTAATGATTAATGAATCTATTTAAATAGTATAAATATTAATTTTTATAAGTTTAGTTTTTTTTTTGAAAACAGAAAAAAAAAGCTAAAAAGAAAACTATCAACTAACTTGAAAGACTTAAAAGACTATTAGCAGCTGCTGTTAAATGATTTTGATTAGATGTTGTTATTGTTGCATTCATTGAATTTATTTCATCATGAATAGAATTATGATTATCATCCTAGAAATATCAATTAATATATATAACGATTATGAATATTTATTAATATTATCTATATTACTGAGACTATAATTATTTGTTAATAGGATAGAACATATTTTAACCTTCTCGAAGGGTCATTTCGCTCTAATCATTATTCATTGCAATTGACTTCTTAAGTGTGTTCTACTTTGATAAGATATGAGATTTTTATATACGCAGTTACATATTGTTTGCGTGATTGTACTTTGACATGTTACTTCTTCGATAAAAACCAGAATCTGTCTTGTTCTGTCATGCAGGACAACAGAAATATTTATTTTCATATTACATATTAATTTAGTAGTTAGAATGAGAGAAGGTTCTCACAAATCTCATTCTCAACACGTATCAAATATCATAAATGAAAGTACGAATTATTGTAAACAAAAAAAAAAAAAAGTTAGATTAATACAGGACCAACATTTCTATCTTGTGATAGAGTAGAACACCATCATTGTCCAATCGAATAGTTAACTCTGGTGATAACTTGAATGAATAAATATTCAAGATTTTAGATTTAGTTTTAATTCTATACGAAAGAATGTTCTTTGATTATGTTTCAATACATTGTTATTGTTATGTACTATTTATCAGTTTACTAAAAATAAAAATTAGATTGATATATGAAGGTTTTTCAAGTCATTCAGTACGAAATTCTTCGGGTTAAACAGTGATTTTTTTTTTCTTTTTGAATATATTTACGTCTATAATATGAAATTACTCTTGGTTTAACGAAATACATAAAATGATATATATCAATTGTTTGTTATTTTTATCTCATTTTTTTTTGCTTTTCATTGATAAAACGAAAGAGAAGAATAAATGTATTTTCTTTTGTTCGGGTCACTTTTTGTTTTTTTGTATTCTTACTTGTTTATCAATATAGAAAAAGAAAAGAAAAAAAAAGAACCTTGGAATTAAAACTGTTTTTCATGACAGAAGTTTATCAAATATTTCTCTCTTTTTTTTTTCCTTTATAACTTGATTGTTTATTCAAAAATTTTCAATGATTTCTTTTTTCCCTAGTTTCAAGGTCAATCTTTTCTTCTCTAGTGATTTGTATCAAATATACAACATTTGTTCACCTTCGATATCATACGTTTTCTTTCTTTTTTTTTTTTTCTTTTTGTTATAATCCAGAGAATATGAATTAGACATAGTAGCAGTTGTAACAAGGTCGCCGTCAATGTTTTTTCGGCCTTCACCGACGAAGGCTGACGCCCTCACATCTCGTTTATTGTCCTTGCCATTTTATTCTTTCTTCTCTGATACTACATCCTTACTCTCTCCTTCTCTCCCTCTCGGTTTTTTTTCCTTGCTCGTTCGAGACACTAATATAGCGTACTAAGCACGTTCAAGGTCAGCTTTATGAATATGTTGTTGTGAAGTTTATCTATATGAAAAAAAAATGTTATTTTTTGACTTTCTTTTCTTTTCTTTTTT